GAGATGTCTTTAAATTGATTTTTTATATTCATTGATTTAATGTATGTTCGTAACGCGATGCTAATTTTAACATTATACTTAAATCAGTTTTTAGAAAACAAGATAATACCTACCTATTATAATTTAGAATAATAGATACTTAAATTCAAGGTTGTCAATATAAACATCAGGAATTTAGTACCTACACACATACTTAAGTAAGTTCAAACAATTGAAACTTTTTATAGAGGCAGGTGAAAGACTAACAAGTCCGCGCATTACTGACACGTGTAGCGGTGCAATATACACGCTATATTGAAGATCATAGGGTCGATCATAACAAATCATAACGTTTCAATATAAACTCATTTTGGGAAATAGGGCTACATAAAATCCCGGAATGTGGGAAGTACCTAAATGTGCAATCGCAACTAACAGGACGGCGCAGACCGCCGCTAAAATAAACGAGTATACGAGTTAAAGCATAAAAGACGTTTAAAACCTAGTCCAGATGCCGTTATCAATGAAAGGAAACGCGTAGATTCAAATTGCCGTCTAACTGCAGTTGCAATAATTGGAGAGGTGGAGACTGTAATAGACCAGGGGACCGTTTCGTCGTATGTTATTCTGTCCTATATTTAGATGACAGTTTGCGAGCAGGGATGTTGTGATTTATATAATAGCAAGATGACCGACCAGTCGTCCACCTACCGGCTACACCTCGACGTGTATCACCTTGTACAGCGCTGTTTGCATTGTATTAATAAACATTTATAAAACAAGCGTAGGCTGCAGTGCATTTGCGGCTGAAATTCAAAACCATGTGACAACGAACAGATTAACGATAAAACATATGGACGTTATTTACCGCACGATTGTTCTCCATATTGGATAATCCCATTACGTGATCAGTGACTTGCGTGTACCGTGATGATGACAAATAAGTAATTTGTTTTTTTCTCTTAATTCCAGGTGCCGAGATCAAGTCAAGATGACGTGGCTTCGAGTATCGGCGTGCTTCTTGGCGCTGTCTGTGCTGATTGCACCGACTTTAGCAGCGGTGTGTCCCGACGGATGTGTGTGCAACACTACTAGAGATGGCCTACACCGTGCCACCTGCAGCAGCCTGTCCGAATTGTACAAATTTACCCTTCGCCAGAAACATCACAACATTAATATCCTCGATCTGTCACATAACAATATCACGAAGCTAAATCACGAGCTGGACCGGCTTACTGAAGTTGTCACGCTGGATCTTTCCACAAATGGTATCCAGACGCTTAATAAATTCTTCCACAATGCCAAGAAATTAGTGCATCTGAATCTGGCCAATAACAGGATACAAAAGCTTTCCTTTGTCTATTTACCTTCAAGCGTTAGTTCACTAGATTTAACTAACAACCTATTGAAAGATGTGCCTTCAGATATAGGACATTTAGTTGGTCTGGAGCATTTAGAATTGGAGGGAAACCCTCTCGACTGTTCGTGTGAAAACTTATTGGCACGCGACCGTTTGCTCATTGCAAATGTTTACATAGACAATGCCAAGTGTGCTTCACCTGCGAAATTTGAGGGGAAATCCTGGCTAGAACTGAAAACGAAAGATATTTGCAAAGTTCCGAAAACAGAAAATAACATGCTGGATATGATGATGGGTGACCAACCTATCGATGCTGTTAAAATCGGAGAAGAAACTACTGCTCTTAAATCAATGCCACTTGTAGCAAAAAGTGACCTAGAAGATGGTAGTGTTATTCAAGGAAATGATGTTGTAGAAGATGATGATCAGTTACAATTCTTGAAAGTAGGTCACACGTCACCATCACCTTTCAACACAGTCGAGGGTTCTGGCGATGGAGACGACGAACATACTACTATGGTCATATTTATGGAACCGAAAATGAACCGAAAACTCGAAAAAGATTTATTAGCAGCTGATGAAGTTATAGCTGCTGAAACCGAACCTACTACTGAAGATCCCATTGAAGGATCAGGAGAAGGGTCTGGCGACATTCTCATCGGTATTGACGAAAGTCATGGATATGAAGAAACAACAACAGAACCTTATGTAGACTTGAATCCAGAGCCAGTACATAGGTATTTCGATAACGAAAACAACACGGTTACCGAGTTCCCGATACCTGAGCCTCCATCAGTGTATCAAGGTGGTATTAATTGGAATGTAGCATCTGCTCCAGAAGTTACAACAGAAAAGCCAACATCACCGACACCACGTGATACCACAATGTCTGAACAAATTAGAGTTACTCAGGCATCTGAAGTTTATGGTCAAATACGCGATGAGAACGAAAACCCAGCTCCCCATAAGACGGGCACATATGTTTGTATAGCAATTATTGTAATTTTATTGGTGGGATTAATTGGTTTTGCAATAATTAAAGGCCAAATGAGAAAACGAAGAGACAGAAGGCTTTTACGACAACAAAAGAGAGATGTTGAAAAAGCATCAAAAGAAATGGTTGACATGAACAAGTCATTATTAGGCAAGCCAGCAGGTGGCATAGAGGCTCCTGTTGACAAAAAAGTCAATGGAAAATACGAACTAGTCCCAACACATGAGACGCCTCAAAAGAAGAGCGAAAATGGAGAACTCGGAAATGGTTTAAATCATAGTAACAATAATGGCACAAGAACTGACAGTCCTAGGGATACAAACCAAAATAAGAGCAGCTCAAGGGATAACAATCTAGTAGATGATATTCCTCAACAACATGAAACTTCTTTTGATTCAGACCCAGCGTCGCCTGATTTTAGAAAAGATACCAACTCATTATCAAGTGAAGACATTTTCGTGCCAATTAATGATGATGATAATCCTAAACTAAACGGCACAGGTGACTCCGATATCTCTCAGCCATTAATAAACGGGGACCAAACCACTGATTCAGATTTCTTGTCACCGTCGCGTGAATACGTTCCAGTGTACTCGCCTGACATGGGTCGAGTGCGCATAAAGATGACGGAGACACCTAAACCCAAAACGCCGGTACTAGTCACCAGAAGTAGGTCGAACGCTGGAGACATCATCATTACTCCGGCGGACGCGCCCAAGTCGACCACTTGAAATCCGGTCTCAGTTGAAAAGGACAATAACACTCCGTGTAAATTAGTGTCAAACAGCACACACATTTAACTATTGGCGAAATTCTGTGATTATTGTGCGTGTAGTTAGGTCCAATCTCGAGTGTGAAGGATTGAAGTCGATTCGTTCGATCGTGTGTAAGTTTTAGAACCTTTGCTGCCAAAGTGTGTTAGTAGTCGACAGTGCCTTTATTCGTAACTTTGTTAGTGGTATAATATATTTATAAAAATATATTGCGCAATAAGTAATAAAAATATTTTTATACGTGTAAAAAGTGTTGCCATGTTCATGATAGTTGTAAAAGTCTTGTTAGTATACTTGAATACGATATCGTAGCTGTCCTACGATGTTGCGAGTGTCGGCCGCTAGATGTTGTTGTACAAACATTGTGTTCTGTTTCTGTTCCGTACGTTGATCCTGCGATATCTTTGTGTATAGTATGATGGGGTACAATACTTGAATTGTAACATGTTCAATGGTTGTGTACTTACTTCTACCCTGAGAGTATATATCTAAACAATGTATAACAACGTAAGGTCCAACTGGCTATGTTTAGTTATTGTCTCATTTTCTGTCGAGAGATTCATTATTTCATGGTCTGGCTAAGCATAAGTTCCTTAGTAATTTTATTGATTTTAGATTTTAAGAATGTGATACCATGTATTTTAAGTATTTGAACTATTTTCAATCAATGAATGTATGTATATAACTAATTCAAATTCGTCTAGTGTATATTTCGTAGATCTTTTATATTTGAATTATTTTATTATGTAACTAAGACATGCTGCTTTTAAATTAATTACTTTGTATCTTTATGCTTTTACTGACCTAATTTAAATTATGTTTATATGAATAGTTAACTGTTAAACGTATCAACATTTTTTTACAAAAAACATTGAAGTTTTCCAGAAAAAAAGAACAAAACAGAACAATAAATAGTTCAGTAAGCAAATATAAATTTAATGTATTTTTATTTCGAAACTATTTTACGATATAAATGGTTGAATCAAGTTTTCCTTTGTTTCACTGTGTTTAAAACCCGCTCCTATTAAATAAGTTAAACTTCTATCACATTTTCTCTAGTTTGAAGTGTACCTACTTAAGACGAATTTCACTAATGTACCACTATTATTTATTTTCGTAAACTTATAGCCCTGAAAGATTTGACGGCTAGAATTTCGGAAACGAAAATCTTAATAGTTTTGACGATTTCTAATATAAAAAAATACAGTAACCTAGTGTTGTTACATGAATTAAATAATTTTCAAATTGCATATTGCCATTAGTTAAGACCGTCAGTTACATATGAAATGTTAATTTGTTTAGTAGAGCAAAATGCAACAAACAACCACGGTGAGGGTTCGATTCCCACATGAAATCTTTGTGTTAATTCCAAAATTGCATCCTGAGATAGAATAAACACGTATAGTGGAAGTAGGTTTCAAATCTAAAAAAAAGGTTTTAATAAGCATATGATTGTTTTAATCCGTATGAGAAGAGTGATAGTTTTATTTTAGTTGTGTCTTCATGTTTTTTCCAGTTTAAGTGGGAGTCCAGTGTAATGCTTAACAGTTTGAATTCTTCTACTTCTTCTATATACGTATTAGTACAAAACTAATACAGTTCCTAAAAGTATTCAGTGTCGCCATCTATCATAAAACTAACGAAATAAGTAATCTAAAAGCTTATATTCTGTGTACCCACTAAAACATATTTACGATAGTGGTGATGTTAACAATTAAAAAGTATTAATTGAATAATAATTAATTATAAAGCTAACAAAGTAAATAGCAGTAAACTAACACCAATCACTTAGTTTAACTGGATGTAAATAGATGTCGCTTGTATCAATTTTATAACAATTGCGCTTGTGATTAAGTTAGTATTCACAAAACTATGAATGGGCAGCGGAGGCTTATCAAATAATATCAAACCAAATTATTTGTAACACATTTATTTCTCGTAATAAAACTCATAATATTATAACTTAAATAGTATGAACACTATGCAATTGATGACTGCCTCATTGGCCGAGTGGTCGCAAGTGCGACTGCCGGGCAAGGGGTCTCGGGTTCGATTCCCGGGTCGGGCAAAGTATTACTGGGTTTTTATAAATCTCAGTAGTAGCACGGAGTCTGGAAAAATGTGCCCGGTATATGGCAATAGGCTCACCCCCTATTACATGGGACTCATAACATAAATAGTGAAAAGTGGGTGTTACATTGTACAGTGGCATTAAGTGCCGATATGTGCACCTCTGCCTACCTCTTCGGGGATAAAAAGGCGTGATGTTATGTTATGTTATGTTACTATGCAATTGATACAACAACAATATTATTCCTATGTAGGTATTAGTTACAGTAAATAAACGATAATCTCTTTCATAAGTCGCTTTCTCGAAGTTCCTCATTAGAGTGCCTCCTTTGCCGAGGACGTAGAGGTCTTTCTAATTCTGCTTGAACTTCAACAGTCATAACGTCTCCATTCTGGGCATCATAGTACTCGGTGTTGTACTCGGACATGCGCCGACGACGAGCCCCGGGCGACTGGTCTAACTCTGCCACCTCATGGCTGCCATATCTACTTATTTCTCGTCTCGGTCTATGACGTCGACGATCATTTGGATTCTCAGATAGTTCGAGATCATCCAAAACTGGAAGGTCACCATTCCTCTCAGTTTCCTCGAGTAAATCTCCGCTTGACTTAGTTTTCCTTCTACCTCGTCTTCTTTTAGTCTTGCCTGTGCCTGTTTCATTAAGTGAATGACATGATGTGTTCAATTTTGGCATAGAGAGAGCTTCGTCGTAAGACGGTGGTGCAATCAGATCACGAGGATCTGGTGTGTTACACAGAGCTTCCTGTTCTGCACGCATTCTTAGCTGCCTCAATCTATCTCTTGCCTCTTCCACTTGCCTTTCTCTCTCAGCCTGAATAGTAGCCAATCGACGTTGCATTGATCTTTTAATACAATTCACTAAAAGAAGGCACACGGCCAATCCTATAATCATTACAGTTATAAACCAAATTATACCGTCTGGATTTGGAACTTTCTCGGTGGGATTCCAGACAAAATAACAGGCTTCTAACCATGTTTGTCCAATTAATGCAATCGGGCTATTGCAAACCAGATTATAGGATTCTTCCTTCTTACTAGGTTCTAAAGTGACAAATTCATAAAAATCGTACATGTTTGCATCAGCACAGTCACATCTCCACATATTGTCAGTTAAATCAAGTCGTTCAAGATATGGGTTTGATTCAAAATATGATCTTCTCCAGATTGTAGTGAATCTATTTCCAATGACACTTAGGCCTGCTAGTCGAGGCAGCATGAAAAACGTATAGTTGTTAATGAAAGTTATCCTGTTGTAGTTGAGGTTTAAATACTTTAGTGTGTTCGATGATATACTATCAGGAATGTGTGTCAAAAGATTTCTCGATAGATCTAAGTCTATAAGACTTTGTAATCCTTCCAAAGAATCCTTGCCAATACTACTTATTTCACACGAACTCATATCCAAAACAGTTAGCGAGTTAGATTTCAAATGCCCGACACTCGAAAGATAATTCCGAGATAATTTTATTTGTGTTAGTGAAGGCATTTCTAGTAAAGTATCTTCGGGTATGGTCGCTATTTCATTCCACGATAAATCTAAATATTTTATTACGTGTAATCCACGGAATGTGTCACTTTTCAGTGATCCGATATTATTATAAGATAAATCTATATACTCCAGCAGAGTATTGTTGACAAACTCGTTACTTCTCAGAAATCTGATCATATTGTGATTGAGGATTGCTCTTCTTAGATTAGGAAATCCTTGTAGATTAGGTTGAAGCACATTGCAGTACGATATGTCTAAATATTTTAAAGAGTCTGAAAACAAATTGTATGCGGTAGCAGACAGTTCCAAGCGGTAGTTATGAGACATTTTCAAGTAAACCAATGATGGTAAATACATTAATTCGTTATGATTTATTGTACTAAGAGCACAGTTGCTGACGTCGAGACTCTTTAGCGTGGAGGATATAAGACTTTGTATTCTCATTAAGGGATTGGAGTGTAATCTAAGTGTTTTGATGTTGATAAGACCACTTAAAGGGGACCTTCCATGTATGGAATCTATTTCACAGTTCTCCAAGATTAATGTTTCTAAGGAAGAACTTATGATCAGCTCTTGATTGGCTAAGTTTCCCATTGTTGAGAATTTGTTGTGTGACAAGTCTAGCGTCTTTAAATTTGTTGCTGGACGAAACACTTCGTTGGGGTTTAGACTTATCCATGCTTCAAAGAAATTTCTGGATAAATTCAACTCTTCGAGGACTGTCAAGTTTTGTAGCGCATCTCTTGGTAATTCATTGAGGCGATTTCCACTTAAATCTAAACTGAGCAGATTACTGAACTTTTTAATGCTTTCAGGGAACGTTGCAATTTCATTGTGTGAAATGTTCAGCCTCGTCACCTGGAAATCAACAACATGATTATTAGTAATCAGTGTAACATTTTCTAAACTAGACCGGGTATTTGGGAATCATGTATATTTCTTTATCCATGTATGTATATTTTAAAAACTTTAGATTAATGCTCGAATTATAAAACTCGACATAACATCACGCCTTTTATCCCCGGAGGCGTAGGCAGTAGTCCATATTACGACCTTTAATGACACTCTACAATGTAATAGCCATTTTTCACTATTTATGTTATGAGTCCCATGTAATAGGGGTTGCGCCTATGTCCAGACTCCGTGCTGCTGCTCTGCTGAGATTATTTTTAAAAACTCATCAATACTTTGTCCGGCCCGGGAATCGAACCCGAGACCACTTGCCCGGCAGTCGAACTTGCGACCACTTGGCCAACGAGGCTGTCAATAAAACTTGATAACAAAAATTATGGAAAGAGGATCCAAATACTGAATCTAAAGGAAAAATATGTAGTTTTAATTCCGCCATAATTTTCCGCAAGATAACGCCTGATTCTACTCTATATTATGAACCACTATTTATGAACACTATTGACGGCCACTTTGTATAACCTATCTATTACACATTTTGTATGGAGCTTATGTCAAAATTCTATCTCAGTAAGCAAATCTACAGATAGATAGCTTATAGAAAATAACCGTTAGTGATACGAAAACAAAACTAGAAACATTTTGAAATTAGTAAATAATTAATAATAATAGAATTACCTGTGTACCGAATCCATCAGGTAACTCAGTCAATCCTCTATGGGAACAGTCGATGATGGTCTTGTCTGCGCTGCAGGTGCAAGAGTAGCACAGATCACCAAGGTCTGTGTCAAAAACTGCTCCTCCCTCCGCTATACCGATCAGCATGAGAACACATAGTGTTTTGGGTAATCGAACCATCACGTCTCGATATCATTACTGCCTGAAAACAATTTAAAGAGGCCATTAGTAAAACACTACCACAAAACTGTATTGCTATCTACTAATTATAAGGACGGTTAGAATAACGATATATTTTTAAATGTTGATAACGTCTCGCCTGCCGGTATATAAGACACATCAGAAAATCTACGTTACGGCATACCATGGGTTAAATGAATAAAATTGATAAAATTGTCGAGAAAAGAACAACCTTTCGAGTCAGCTAATAATAAATAACACATTATCACCAAATTAATTGATTGACAAACCCAATTCGCGAAATATGGATTTTTATGACTGGACATCCGTTTCACTCAATTCTTCCATATCATCTGTTATTTCATGATAGAGACGCAATGAATCAGATATAACCACTATCACATTTCAAACATTAATCAGTGACAATTGTTTTTGTAAATTGAGTCACCGTTATAAAAGAAGTTAATTACAAACTAATTAAATAAAAGTAGACAGAAAACTAAACAAAATATGAAAACAGGCGACAAATAAAGAAATATTCGCTACTATCAATTGCTTCCGAGAAAATTAGTCGTTATGATAAAAAGAATCATACCTAAATGTAATTACACTGAAAGACTGGACGCAAACACTAAAGATATAACAATCAAACTGAAGATTACAATGAAAATTGAAATAGAAATAGAAGTCGCGATGGCTATGGTAAACTATGGTAATGAGAATTTAAAAAATACGAGACACAATATCACTAAAACAAATTCAATAATACCGGTTCCAATTGTGTTAGTAAACTCTTAGAACTGACGTGTGAGTTAATGAAAATGTGCTATCCAAAGAAAATCTAACCATCGTCCTTCATACGATGAGGAAGGAAGACAGATTAGTTTCGAACACCTGCTTACATCTGCTCAAAATCCTTGTCACGCACGGACTTCCGAAATAGTCTACGAAGAGAACTAAATAGCAGAATCATAAAGCTATTTTAACCATGAATAACCACTGCATTATAGTACATAAAACAATTTTATCTTTGTTATCAGCTATTGATAAAACAGTAGAATACTTAAATTTGGGTCGACTTTGCGTATCTGTATCGAAAACGTGAAGTAAATTCAGGACAAACGATTATATCTATGGGGTCTCATGGGATTAGAAACGTGGTATTACTAAATGATTATACAGCGAAGACAGTTGGTAAAAAACCAAAGCATGAAACGTTAGATTTCAATAAAAGAACTAAAGATGTGACTATGGGAATAGAAGTATTGTAAGAATGTACAAAGTTTTACTTTTCAATGAATAATGAAATCTGTAATTGTTAATGAAGATAAAGTTCTTAAACACACGTAGTTCTAGTTTCAAGTGGTAGTTGACCTCATTACCGAGATATTTACCATTACTGAGGTACCTGTAGAGTAGATACGAATTGTGTACCAACACAGGTAGATAAAAATTGAGTTGACCTATGGTGTAGGCAGAAAATAATCGATACTTATTGGTTCTATGGCAAGGATTGTGTTACAGCATTTAATTCAAGGAAACTCGTATTATTTTAGATAATATTTTATCCTCACTTGAAAATGGCTTTCAATCAATAAAAATTTGAAAAACAGCACTTACCTTTTCTGTACAGTTTAATTGAACACACATTTATGTAACTGACATTATCTGTATATTTCACTTATCTTTGCCTTTCGTATGAATGTAAACACCTTAATCTATGGTTTTTGGAACAATTATTTTTAATTTAGACGTGTTGTCCCTACGGTGCGATTACATTGTGTGACTCAAATTCGTGACGTTATCATTGGTGATAAGAATGGCGAAAGCGTATGTGCTTAGGGGCGCGGTAATCTGTACTTGGCCGACTCCTAGGGATATCTGTGAATATTATGTAATCACACAAAATAGAAAATTACAACTGCTTTACCCTTCTTATGTCCTAAGAAAATAGGTATACAGGTAGAAATTTTTTCACACAAAAAATATGTAACAGGTTATTGATTTGTGTAAGCCTGGAAAATATTTTTCTACATACTTGATCAATTTAATTGATTAATTTTATAGTCTGCGTTTGTGCTGTGCCGTATTTTATTTGAATTATTCCTCGTGCAAAACTTTTTACCGCCTTAACTAATTTGAGTACAGCGCCATCTACACCCCAAGTTTGGAACTTTGTAGGTTTCTCAGTGTCAAGATAACAGCGCTGTGTCAACTTTTTTGTACAGATTATTGAAGGTAGATGGCGCTACATGTTTGAATTTAAATTTTCGTGAAGGATATCAATGTTTTCAGGATAATGTAGTAAAACCATAATCAATTTATACCTAGTTTTTTAATATTACTTATGTACAAATATCTTAAATAGTAACATTACATTTATTAAATTCCTTAAAACTAGTGGCAAGTCTTATATTTGTAGAGTTAGTTTTTATTATTTGTAAATAAATAATTACCTAATTAAACTTTTGTTCTGACAAACTGATTAGGCCATCAACAGTACACAATTTTGGTTAGTACTAAAGTTCTGGATTCCTTGGATCTGCCATGTTTTAGCACTTTTTGTAACATTTTTAAACCTCAATCATAGATATTAAAATAGAATCACTGACTTCAATAAAATTTCGTTTACTCATCAATTGTAATACGTATATCAACAGGACGCCGTAAAGACCGTCTATCTGCTATTCTTGGCCTAGTTTCTGTCAAATCACCAATTGATCTCGATCTGCGATAGTTTCTCGGTTCCTCTTCGTCAACAAAATCTGGCAAAGAATGAAAGGATGAGTTCAAGCGAGGCATTAGGAGCGCTTCGTCATAGCTCGGTGGGAGATCCTCACGCAAGGGTACTCGTAATATAACTGACTCGGCCCGAGGCTGGGTAGCTGTACCGTTGAGATTCAGAACTGTAGTCTCGGGCGGTGGCCTTGCGGGCTCTGTTGATGATCTCGTGATGGCCACTAGACCTCGACACACACACGATGTCACCACAATCCCGATGATCACACCCACCATTAACGCTATAGTCGTGAATGGCGGACTACTCGACTCCACTGGGTGCCACGTCCTAATGTAAGCCTGCTGCCAGCTCAACTGTGTCACATTGGATGGTGAGTAGCAAATTAATGACTCTCTGTCTACTATCTTTGACGGTTCCTTTGTCAAAAACTCATAAGTCAACAAGAGATTGACACTGAAACCTTCACAGCTCCACCGATTTCCCTTCACGTAGACCTCCCTCAAAAACGGGTTTGAAGAGAAGTGTGAAGTCGACCATACATCCCTGAACTCATTTCCTCTCAGGTCCAGTACCGCCAGGTGCGGTAACGACGAGAAGCTGTTGTCTGTCAACAAATTTATTGAATTGTAACTTAAATTTAGCTCCTGCAGCGTGTCCGAAGCGAGGTTGTCTGGAATCTCTTCAAGCTGGTTCATAGACAAATCGATAGCCAAGAGCGAGCCCATTCCGACGAGAGAGTCGACGTTCATAGTTGCGATCTGACAGCTGCTCATGTGTAAACTTCTCAAAGAAGGAGATTGGAAGCTGGGCACGTCAGAAAAGTAATTTCTGGATAAAATGAGACTGTCCAAGTGGTGCGCTTCGGAAAACACTCCGGCGGGCAAATCGTCAATTCTGTTCTCTGATAAGTCGAGGAAATATAAGTAGGGCATTGTGGTAAATGCTTTTTCATCTACTATGTTAATTTTATTTTTTGATAAGTCTAAATTTTTTATGTAATACTTTTGTCCAGTCGTTGTCCATGTGTCGTAGAGGTTATTTGATAGATTGAGAGTTTGTAAATGGACCCAGTTTTGTAAATAGCTGGGAATGGTATGAGTCAGATAGTTCCGTGACAGGTCGAGCGTTTCCACACGAGAAAAATTCTCTAGTTGTGGCGGGAACGTCTTGAAATTGTTGTTCGATAGAAGCAATACTTGAGCCTGAAATAAATAAAAAGAAACCTTAAATGTGCTGTATTTTTAATTGAAAAAATATTAAGAAATCTATAGTGTGTGATTCTAATCTACTGATTAAATGAGTTAGGAATCATGATCATGTACTTTATATCAAATAATGTTAAGCATCAAATCACCCAGTTAAGATTAGTTTTGATTAGTATGTACACCTAATCATCGTAATAATAGATTACACGGCATTATCGTGTTGCTATTATTATGTGTATTATTAATAAAACTTATTTCTTTTATCATTGTATTATGTGTTAAACATCGCCAAGAATCGCCTTGTTTTTAACAAACAGAACCTCTTTTTTCACTACATAATATCTTTTAACTAAAAGATGAACGAATAAAATGCTCTTGAAATACAATAGCAATAATTAAAACGATCTTACATTTAAAACTAAACCTATTCTGTACTGATTTACAGTAATACAATGCACTGCAGAACATAAGCTTTCCCTTAGACTTCTAAGGATAGGCCATCTGTCGCGGAGAACCTAACGGGTAACCGGGGCTCCGGCTCGACGTGCAGGAGAAGGAACGGGGTGGGTTTTAGTCAGTAAGAGTCTGACACTCCCTTCCGCCTCACCCAGGCGGGAGCAGTCATTCGATGATTTTCCCCACTTAAAAAAAAGGGTAGGCCATCTGGCGTTGCTGCAGATTTAGGCCAAATCCCAATAACTAATATAACATCACGCTTTGCGATACGCTCGTGTTATGTATGTTTCCACTTCTGTTTAGCAGTGATATGGATCTAAAAAACTTTAATCTTTTTCAGTACTTACATTATAATCCAATTCTTCAGGTAATTCCTTCAGCTCTCTATTGGAGCAGTCTAAATGGAGGAGGCCGTCCATCATGTAGGTCCGGCACGGTGGTATTTGGTCTTCCAAGTCATCAGCCTGTCTCTTCACCAGACCAGCCGACACCAGGGTCGACATCAGCCATAATAATAGCGCTGGTAGTATTACATCTGGAAAAAGGTGTTTTTGTATTAGATAGATATATCGACTTAGCTTTTTAGCTGAAGTTAGCTGCTTTTATTTCATTTCTATGAAAGGAAATAATGCATTGTATAATCAAATGTGGGAGAGCTATGCTTCGGCACGAATGAGCCGGCTTGACCGGAGTGAAACCACGGCCTCACAGAAAACCGACGTGAAACAACGCTTGCGTTGTGTTTCGTCATGTGAATGAGGTTACAGGAGGCTCAATTAATTAGCGCAAGTGCAGCTTAGGACGTCAATCCGCAAGGTGAACAGACGACCTGAACAAGGTCGCAGGGAGCTGCTGGATGCAAGTTACTTCCACCCGGCCTATATGGAAGTCATTGGGGGAGGCCTATGTTCAGCAGTGGACGTCCTGTGGCTGATATGATGATGATGATGATGATTTGCAGATATGCAAATCGTTTTTAATCATTTTTAAGGCGTTCACGAAAAGACAACTGAATGTGTATGACATAGTTCACATGCACTTTTTAAATAATAATAAAAGCGAGTCATGGCTTATTATTTAGTAAATACCTAACATTTTTCATTACCTAGAATTTTTCCAATTTGATTCGTATCAATTAGATAAAAGATTGTTTTTATAATCTGTGACGCCAACTGTGGTAATGAAATTAATAAGTTATCTAACTGACGACCACTGGTGGCATTTATACAAATATTATGTATAATATATAGAATTAAATGATAAATGAGTGTACAATAATGTGTTATGAGCTTGACAAAATAGTATTAACTAGGTCAGAATCCATTCAAGACTAGGGAAGTGTTCTTAAAAGGAAATGTGAAAGTTTGGATTATTTTAGGGAAGAAAATCGTCCAATTACTTCTCCCGCCTTGGGTTAGGCGAAAGGGAGTGTCAGACTCTTACTGACTAAAAACCATCCCGTTCCTACTTCTGCTCTTCGAGACGGAGCCCTGACAACCCGTTAGGCCTTCCACGGCTCCGTTAGGCCTTCCGCGGCTCCGTTAAAACTACCGCGACTTCCTTAGGCCTTCCGCGACTTTGTTAGGCCTTCCACGGCTCCGGTAAAACTTTGGATAGATGTTCGTTTTTTGATTATAATCATGTTTTTATTTAGGGACAGTAAAGTTGTATACTGAGTATAAGTTTTACATACTTCTTCATTTCGACAATTACATAATGTTTTCATTAAAAACCTTATTACATCAGATAGGTATCTGGCACAGTTTTAGGTGCAATGTCATTTTTGGAAACTGAACAAATAAACCATTATTAATTGCCCAACCCGAGGACTGAAGTCGAAATTGGTAGTCACTGTGACTATTCGTATTTAATAAATCCACGAGTAAATACTATAGAGGATATTGCCATGATTTTTCATTTTTCGAGTTTACCTCCACCTTGTAACTGTTTGCAAATTACAATGTTTATACTCACAGTATAAAATGTAAATTTTTGAGATTATTTTATTACATCATAATCATAATGATCCTGCTCATATCATAGAGATTAATATATTTTTCGATTGATTAATCAATCAGGCATTACAGTAATTCGATTCACTGACCAGTCCCCAAGCGATCATCGATGACCGCTTTCCACTTATTCCATTATAGACCTTATTTCTGATGTTTCGAGACTACTTTTGTATTAACAAAAGTTGTAGATTTTTCATATAATCGGGGATTAAGAAGTTCAAATTCAAATTAAATTTTTTATTGCATTATATCATGTGTACAATAGGTGTTACATAATTTGGTACAGTTAACATTTTAAAAGCTTGAATATTAAAACAATATTCATCTAGAGGTAGATTAAAAAATTGGGATTTCCCTAGGTTTAAGGATAGTATTCCCTCTTTTATTTAGTTCGATATCATAGTGGTCTGATGATCATGAGATCATTCGTAAAGTGAACCCATATAAACAAAAGGGAACGATCCGAATCGCTCCAGCCGTCTTCAAATTTTCATTTGAACAATCGCAAAAGTCCTTTTATAGTCGAAGTTGGTTAAAATGTATCGAATACCAGTACCAGGAGGCCTAGTAAAGGATGTTTAACTACATTATGTTGGAAACTTATTTAAACAAATATGCTTAGGTATGAGACAAAATGTGTATACACTTGGGAGCAAAATAACGGAGTCACTAGTGTCTTTTCTTTTTCATTTCTTGTTATTAAATATTTTTTAAGGGACTTTTATACCGCACAGACTTTTTATTTTGTCGAAGGGCTCGCTGACCGCTGGGGTAGAAGTAATCTAGGGTGGAGATCGCGTCTAGGCAAACGTAGTGTAGGGCGCCCTCCAGCTAGGTGGAGTGACGATATACGTAAAGTGGCTGGTAGTGGTTGGATGCGTAGAGCTGAAGACCGAGTTTAGTGGCGTGCCATTGGAGAGGTTTATGTCCAGCAGTGGACGAAAACGGGCTGTTGATGTGATACCGCACAGCGTATGTCGGTCCCATCGTAAAAAAAGTGTTTCAATCAAATAGAGGTCTTTGCCCCACAGTAGGATTTTCTCCTGTATCGTGGGTGCGTTTAGAAACATACAGGTTCACATACACATAACACCCAAACCCGAAACTGGAAAATGTGTGGATCACACAAAGAGTTGCGGGAATCGAACTCGCGACACGTTGCGCGGCAGCCAGTTGCCCAGCCACCGCACCTAACGTGCAGTCATCAGTCATCAGAAGTCGGTACCTAAACGCAGTTTATATTTAAAATAATTATTTTTAAGTTATAAAGGGTTCGATAAAATGAAAAAAAACACGGATGACTTCGTTTCTTTGCTCTCAAGTGTAGATAAACCATAATATATGTAGTCATGCAATGCCATACATGGCACCCAATAATACGTACTTGTTAGAGGAAGAGGGTAGATAGTCTAAGATTGCTTATCGTGTCACTAACAATATTGATAATGAACTATGCTTATACATAGGTACCTACATTGCGCCAGGCTAGATCTTACCTAGCTGTACCTACCTAGATGTATGTTTATCAATGATGATGATGATGTGTGTTTATCAATACCTATAACTTTTAAGAGTTTTGTTTATTGGACATGGCATGTCGCCTGATTCCCGCGCAGTACAACTCTTTGTGTAATCCACAATTTGTTGTTCCGGCTCTGGGTCTCATATTATATGAACTTGTATAGATACAGGAGCTTATCAAAGTGTGGGACAGAATAAAAAAAACCCTTTTGTTTTTAAATTAAGACTATTTCATGGAGACCCTTGACAGCCGTTGGTGGATAGGGCAGTGATTAGTTTACAATATGTCATCAAGCTTGTTCAAGTTCAGTTCGAGATCATAGCATAAGACATAGTGAACTTATCCCACAAACAGTATGTCTATTCTATGTCTATTTTATACTAGCCTTTTTAATCGACTTCAAAAAAGGAAGAAGTCTTCAACTCAGTTTAGACAGACATTAAAAACTATAATTACGCGTTGGTCAATGAGTAGAAGCTGAAAATGAATGTTGTTTAGCATGTCCTAATTAATCTATATCTCCATCACTGTCTTACATATCTAGAAAACATTTGAACGATAAGGACAATAGATATAAACTTGGTCTATATCTGATTCTAAGGAAAATACAGGTATTATATCCAAGTGCACCTGTTCCGGCTTAGTAGCACAAATATAGAAATTCCTTCACTGTTCTTGACCGAATTTTGTACAAAAATAAATTAGGTGGAGCATGATAGTTTTGAAATTGATAAGCCTACGCGGTGATAATGATATTTGACTTTCGAAATGTTTTATCTAAAAGAATTGACGTTTAGCTTGAAGTAAGATATTAGGTAATACCTTTTAAAGCTGATAGAATTCAGAGTCGTTACCAAAATCCAATTAATACACTTGGTTTTTCTAGATAATATCAATTATTACGATATTTCATTAGATAATAACAGATAAGTGTCACTGCATATTGTGTAAAATGCTAAATATAAGGCGCGTATTACAATTTTGTTCCACAACCTAACCTAACCTAACATAACCTAGTATGTCAGATTGACAGTTCGAAACACAAAAATGGCGCCAAACATTACAAGTAAAAGAAATGCTTAAAAATACTAGTTCGTACATTGATAAGAGAAAAGTATTTACATACGATTGTAAAAATATGTACTCAAAGGTCGCACTCAGTGTTTTAACCAAATATTATCTTACAGCACGAATTCGCACGTCCATAATACAAGATTAATATTCAAACACCCAAAAAAAGGTGAAAATAACCTTATTTCATACAGTAATAAAATCGAAAATGGGTTAACAGGGTAAATGAAATCAATAAATAGTATTATGCGAAAGCGGGTTATTGTTACTACGCTTACCGGATGCCATTGAATACGCGAACTTATACACTGTTTATGCACATTTTCACATATTTATTAAACCTTTGGATATGTTGTATCATTCACAATGTAGCACTGTGGTGAAAATACTGTATTTTAATACAGATACGGTGTGGCGAACGAAAATATATCACGTCACTGACGTCGTCGAGTATTGCTTTTGTAATGTTGAAGATAGTATAGTTAGCGATACTAGGCGGGTTTCTGAATTCGTAGGAATGGCCATTATGTACAGGTTGTGTATTTTTTTACGATATTTTTATGACTGTATCGTTGGCCTAGTGGTCGCAAGTGCCGGAGAAGGGGTCTCGGGTTCGATTGTCGGGTTGAGCAAAATAATACTGGGTTTTTAAAAAAAAACCTCAGTAGTAGCACGGTGTCTGGAAATGGGACTTATAAGATAAATAGTGAAAAGTGGGTGCTACATAGTACAGTGGTATTAAATGCCGTAATGTGTACCTCTGCCTACCCCTTCAGAGATAAAAGTTATCTAATTACCTACGGATGAAGATATTTTCAGGATTGTTTAAGAATAATTTTATTTTATAACAGGATTGATTTACATAAAGTTGGAAATTGTATGTAACTTTAGTGATTTTAATCAGTTGCTACCAACACATCTCCCTCATTGCTCCACATTGCACTATTCTTACTATCATAATAGAGGAAATCAGAATTCAGGAAATCATAATTGTACATTTTCAATGCTTATGCTCTACACTAGCTCACCCCACTTTTCTTTATAATATTTGTCAAACTGAAATGGTCATTTAGAATTCAAGGTGATAGGTACTTATCTAAGTGTTTGTGCTTGTTAAGTTCCTGGGAAACCGTTTAATTGTTCATTTGCAAAAATATATTTTAAGTCAATGTGAGAGAGTCGATAATAAGAATAAATAAAGCTGTATACCTACAGCTCGGACATAAACAGGCTATCTAATAAAGTGAAGAAAAACACAACATCAAATAAAAATAATAAGTGACGGAGGGATTGCACTGGTATTTTTCCTTCAAACAAAATAACAAACATCATGTATCTATTTACCGTTATCGACGTTGTCTTATCACTGATTAGTTATCGACTTATCGTAAATGCAAAGAAATATTCACCTCGAAATATACGTGAATCACTTAGCGTACCTACATATAACTATATCATTCACAATATCATTTACAAGTGCTAATATTGTAATAAATAAAACAAATAATAAAAATAACTTACAAAACGAAATAAAAAAGAATAACCTGTATTAACAACTTTAACTAGTGAAAATGTGACAAAAAATATGTAATAAAAACAATGAAAATTTGTTAGAAATAAAAATAAATTACAAAATAAAAACGCAAAAAATAAAAATAAAATAAAAACTGAGTTATTTTGAACATTACGTGTTGGCAATGATATTCTTTTTTAGATAATCTGCACTTTACAACGTAGGCCCCTTGTAGGTAATTACTGATAAGATAAAGTTAAAAGTAAGTCAGGTGTGTTATTTGCACCCACTGCCACGGTCCATGACAGTTGGAATCAGTTATCATTGAGAACTATTCACATTGGGCAATGCACCTAATTTTAGTTCTATATTTTATTTATTTAGAAAGATACTTAAAAAAATTACTATTGTAATGATATTATGTCGCGGAGAACCTAACGGGTTACCGGGGCTCCGGCTCCACGTGCAGGAGAAGGAACGGGGTAGTTTTTAGTCAGTAAGAGTCTGATACTCCCTCCCGCCTCACCCAGGCGGGAACAGTCATTCGATGATTTCCCCCCCCCTTAAAAAAAATTGTAATGATATTTTATTTTATTTTATTAGATAATGAATTAATCAGCTAATTGATTAAATATAAAAACATGAATTTAAAGCTCTAACGATGAAAAGTATTGTTTTTATTTTTATGTCACATCATTTTTGTTCTTGATTGTCACTCACTTTTTCTCAATTTTACTCTTATGTTAATACATTTATTTACAAAGATATTTCCGTGTATCATTCCGAATAACCTAGACCAGCTCTTCTCCAACCCCAACATTTGGTCCTTAGTTATGCATATGCCAAGTAGTAGAAGGAAATAGGCTAAAGATGTAAACGATCGAATAAAACTGACCTACTGGTTGTTTACTTTGGTACTTTTTTAAACCCACTTACTACTGATTTCAATTCACCTAAAGTAATATTTCATATTAAGGAATATACGGCTATTCATAGACTTATGAATAGATACTACAAGGAGTACAAATATTGATGAATGGAAATGATTTTCGCAGGTTGTACTCTTGCTAATAAACTGACCTACATTTCTTTATACGAACAATATTGTCTATTAAACTTGCCTTAAGTTACGAATAATATAACTAATACGTACATCCGTACATACATAACCTTACGGCTGTCTCCCATGGGGGTAGGCAGAGACTATGGAACGCCAATTGCTACGAAACTAAGCAAGATTCGTTTCCTCAACACTCATCTGTCTTTTCATGCATGCTCGTCGGGTAAAGGTACATAACTAATTTTTATACTTAAATCTGTTTAATTTCCACTTAAGTTTTCATTACTTAGAGATCTTGTTGAACCTGCATATCTATGTAGGTATAAAAATATGAAATATCTTTCTTGTGTATGAAAATGCATACACTAAATAGGTATAGAATTTGTGTCCTGAGATGTGGTCCTAGACTTTGACCAACAAAGTACTCAAAACAATGATATTGTTTCTCAAATTTTTGATCTGGTAAAACTATATTCAACCAAAAACATTCTGTAAATAAATAGCCAAATCTCGATGGAGCCGCTCGTTAATCTCTAAAAAGTAATGAAATCTAGACCATGTCATGCCAAGTTTAAGGTTCCTTACTGCGATTTTTTTATTATTATAATTAATATTGTGTGACTTAGCCGATAAAGAAATGGCAGGTAAAACTTCTTTTTTAAATTGTACACAAGGCTCAATTATAAAGCCCAATGAAAAATAGACATCCCCAAACAATTCCCTTCAAAAGATAATCAAAAGCAAACTTCATCTTCATACCTCAATAAACAAACTCGAGCCAATACCTTCACTTGTTTTCATAAATCCTGAGTGCCTCAGGATTAATCAGAACAGGTGTCGTGGTTTCGAAAAACGCGACACGTTCACTCGTCACGCCTGTCTGAGCTCGTTTGCGCTTGTCCTGACCTGTTTACCTCCCCCCACCCTTAAGTTAGCTCTCAGTGGGGAGGAGATGTTCGCTGATAAGCCCCATCGATTAGAATGAATGTTTGAGACTTGCAACTTGAATTGAACTTGTTCAGATGTTGAACGAGACGTTCTTTTGTGATTAATTTTTTCTTCTTCGGTTTTAAATATGGTTGATAAACACAAAATCATTAACTGGGTTATTAAATTGATTAAAGAATTGTTTTTGTTTCTCATTTATAGTCTAGTTTAATTTTAAGGTCAATGTTCAGCAATTGTCGCAGTATTTTCTACCTTGGAAAAAAAAGATAATTGAACAGACTTTTTCTTCGACCGTCTAAGTTAGCAACAATCGTTGAAAAGTGACGACATTTCTCTTTTATAATTACATAAAAAAGTATTTATTAGGTTATTAAGAAAAGCTCTACTAGTTTCGAAACACAGAGGGTTTCTTTCTCATGAGCAGCAGAGTAGACTGCGTAACATCGTTGTGACTACGCACGAAACTACTAGAGCTTTTCTCAGTATATTCACGTGATTAACCCGCGATTTATAATTAATTTAGTATGTCTCACGATAGTTATTATAAAAACAAATGTAAGAATTCTTCATCATCATCATCAACAGTCTATAAATGCCCACTGCTGAGCAAAGCCTCTTCTCACACGGAGAAGGTTTGAGCATTGATCGCCACGGTTGCTCAATGCGGGTTGGTGATTTCAAACTTATAATTAAAAATTATAAGCCCAGGTTTCCTCACGATGTTTTCCTTCACCGTTTGTCAGTGTGTCTGACTGTGGTCTGAATAATCTTAGAAAGTACATTTAACTCGGAAAAAGTCACATTGGTACTTGCCGTTGGTAGGTTTCGAACCCGCACCCTCATGCATAAGAAGTGGACGTCTTAAACCTCCGGGCCACCACGACTTCTTTTAGTAATTTTCAGAATTCTTCACCAATAATAATTAGCATTGATTACTACTACAAGTAATAATTACTTTGATACATAATCATCTATGAATCATCCCAGAGCAGTACCAGTTCAAAGTTAATGTAAAACCATAATGAAAACTTTAAAGAGATATTTAGTAATGTTTCCGTTTCGGCAGCAAGTTCAATAAATAAGGATAAAGCCCATTAGAGCCGGTCCAGCAAATCTTCGACCGCCGAACGCCACTTACTTAGACTTAAAGTGTTCCGGGGAGCTATTTTGTTAAAGATTTGGTAGCTTCGTCCATTTTGAGATATATTTCGCTACAACTAACCGACGTAATTTTGTCCTCCATCGGATTTAAAGAGGCTCGGAGAAGTTTTGCATTCTTATTTTGAGATAGTGCGCAGTTGCTTACTGAAAATAAACTTAGTTTTAAGTGAAATGATTACATTTTTGATAATCACATTACATAACGTAACATCACTCCTTTTATCCCCGATATATGATATATGTTATGCTTATGAGTCTCATGTAATAGGGGGAGCTTATCATCTTATACCGGGCACAATTTCAGACTCCATACTGCTATTGAGATTTTTTAAAAAAATCCACTAGTTCTTTGCCCGACCTGGGAATCGAACCCGAGACCCCTTTGCCCGGCAGTCGCCCTTGCGACCACTCGGCCAACGAGGCAGTCTTTTGATAATCATAGCGAATTAATTTAAATACTAATGTGGACTTACGTAAAGTGTCAATGCTAACTTCTTTGATTCGTTAAATGTTCTAGAATTTATTATGCAATCCATGCATAACTTGGTACATCAATCAAAAAGAGACGATACCAATTCTAATAACCACAAAATAACCCCAAAGCAACACTAAACACGAAATCTTAAAAAATAAAAATAGGACTACAACAGAAAAACAATAAAACATCATTCATATCAATTGGGGATCAAAAACGTAGTATTATGAGGTCCGGCTGAGTATATTGCTGACCCTTCGAGAAGGGATCAGGGAAATATGATAGGTTCGGCCCGTATTTATTTGTGCCCACTAAGGATTTGCCCTTCCCTGCTAAGCTGGTTGACCCGAAACGAGATGCCAATTTGCTTTATTGACTTCTTGATCTCGACGTTACGTGGTCGTAAGATATTGCCTTTTTATCTATATGACAGGTTGTTTATTGCAATTAATTTTAATCGCTAACAAAGTA